CGTCGCTAAACAACACACCAGAGGTCAAGTCAGGCAGATCCAGCTTCCTCAGTCGGTCGACCAGCCAGGACCAGTCCAGCATGCGGTCCCACTCCCGGCCCCAGAGTGAACACCATTCCTCCAACAGTGTTCCAACGCGAATGACCCTGGCCTCACTGCAGAACCAACAACCCGTCGCGCAGGACCCTGCTCAAGATCTGTCTAAAGAGGTCATGAACAAGCAACTCTCAGATTTCAAGATTCCATGGCAGGCACCCACCGGCGGGTTTCCGTCAACCAAGACGAACAACCCTCACATGAAAACGCAGTTCAAGAACGCGTACTCGTCGACTGGGTTTGACATGCTTGGAGTGCTGGTACGTACCGACACAGTGTATCGAGAATGACATACTGACATGCCATTAGATGCGTGTAGCTACTCGACCTGAACCCCAGATCGACATCGGTTCAGTCGATCTTTCGTGCGCCTTCGTCGTTTGCGATGCCGAGCTGGACGACATTCCCATTGTTTACTGCTCTGAGAACTTCGAACGACTGACCGGCTACACGAGACATATGATCCTCGGGCGGAATTGCCGTTTCCTACAAGCACCTGACGGCAAGGTAGAATCGGGTATCAAACGCAACTACGTTGACGACGATTCGGTATACTATCTCAAGAACATGATCGAGAGTCGTGCCGAAGCACAGATCAGCTTGATCAATTACCGAAGAGGTGGTCAACCGTTCATGAACCTGCTCACTATGATCCCTATTGCTTGGGAGCCTGGCGGCAAGATGAAATTCTTCGTTGGTTTCCAGGTCGATCTAGTCGAGCAGCCTGGAGCCATGACGAACAAGAACTCAGGTGGGCTTCCGCATCTAACACAACACCTCGTGTGTGAGCTGATCATGTTATAGACGGTTCGTACCGAGTCAACTACCAACGCGGAATGTCGATACCCAGTTACGTTTTCAGCGACCATCACAAGCCACAAGCAGCCGAGCAAGGTCAAACTATTTCCAAAGATGAGGTGTCCAACGTTCTCGCTGCTTACAGCGGTAGCGGTGACTCAGAGATGACAAGACGTATTTGGGATAAGGTCCTGCTTGAGAACAGCGACGACGTCGTTCATGTCTTGTCGCTGAAGGGGCTATTCTTATACCTGTCACCGGCCAGCAACAGGATACTAGAGTACGACCCAAGTGAGCTTGTCGGGACTGCCCTGTCTTCTGTCTGCCATCCTAGCGACATCGTCCCGGTTACACGAGAGTTGAAGGAAACCACAAACGGCGCATCGGTCAATGTCGTCTTTAGGATACGGCGAAAGAAAAGCGGCTACATGTGGTTCGAAGGTCACGGTTCCCTTCACACGGAGCAAGGCAAGGGCCGGAAATGCATCATCCTTGTGGGTCGCGAGCGCCCTGTCTATACTCTAAGCAAGGCTATTGTACGCGAATCCGGAGGCGTTGGTGACAACGAACTTTGGACCAAGATGTCTACGTCAGGCATGTTCTTGTACGTCTCGTCCAACGTACGTCAGTTACTCGACAAGCAACCCGAGGAGCTTGTGGGCACAAGCATACAATCTCTTATGCGCCAAGAGTCCAAGATCCAGTTCGGCCGTATCCTTGAACTTGCCAGAGGTGGCAGGAAAGGTGAAGTCAAGCACGAAATGATCAACAAGCGTGGTCAGGTCCTCCAGGCTTTCACGACCATCTACCCCGGAGACGCAATCGAGGGCCAGAAACCCACCTTTGTGGTTGGTCAAACGCGACTCCTCAAGTATTCGCGGAACAGCAATGCTGGCCGCCCGTCAATGTACACGAACACCAAGCATGAACGCGACTCTCACAACTCTGTACACACGCAGATGTCAGGGGCGGCATCGCCCGCCGCAGGATCTCTGACTGGTCACACCGGGTCAAATACGCCAAACACATCAAACACAAATCCTCTCTTCATCACAACCGAGGAATCACCTGCGACATTTGCTGGGCACAACGGTCTACAGCTTGGACATCAGGACCAAAGCCTTGCTTCAGACGACAACGTGTTCGACGAACTGAAGACGACGCGAAGCACAAGCTGGCAATACGAGCTCCGACAAATGGAAAAGCGAAATCGATACCTGGCCGAAGAGGTTCAGAGCTTATTGGCCGCCAAAAAGAAGAGGAAGCGCAGAAAGGGCGCAGGTCAGATGCAGAAGGACTGTGCGAATTGCCATACAAGAACAACGCCCGAATGGCGGCGAGGTCCATCGGGCAACCGCGACTTGTGCAACTCGTGCGGACTGCGGTGGGCTAAACAGGTAGGTCGATCTTCTCACCCCCAGTCCTCAGAATCAAACTAATAGAGATACTCACAGCAAGGACGAGTGTCACCTAGAACGTCGTCTGCGGCCAGTGATAAGAGCAAAAAGAGCGCCTCGCCACGCCATTTTCCTACAAGCCACTCCAGTCATCAGACTATCCTTCCTCATACGAAGACGGAGAGCGGACAACAGTCTACTCTCCCTTCGCCAATGGCGACTTCCACTAAACGTTCGCCGCAACAAGGTAGCATCACTGAGTCGCATGCTGCAAAGGCGCCACGTACGGAAGTCGCTTCTTCGCAAGGCTTCATTCCCCCACCGTCGATCGATGAAGTGACGGAGCCGGAATCATGAGCACGACAGATCTGAACGTCCTCTTCTCTACTTCTTCTTCGCGGTTTCTCTCTCCTGTTTCGTGTCATTCTCCGCTTTGGTCAAACGATACCCCATTACTTATATTCACTTTAACGAACTTCACATTCGCTTGCTCGAAGCGAGCTTCTCATGGGGGAGTTTTTAGACTCACATCTTTTCTTGTTTCTATATCTGTTTGATGTTTTACGACTTGGGTCAACAACGTGGGAAGGGTTTGGCGTGTGGTCGAGCTTTTCGACCGCAGGTTCTACAAATTGGAGGCTGAGAGACGAGGCGCAATCTGCATGTACATGTCTTGGGCACACTTCATCGGGTGTCTTCTTATTCTGTTGTATATATCAACGACGTTTGGCAACGGTATGGGATGGCTTATCAGGATCGCGTGGGGCGCACGCGTACGGACGGTATCACTCATCAATCAATCAATCATGTGTCACATCAGATCAGATCATGTCAAAATGAATAGTGGATCACGACTGCGATGACCTGGTTGGAGCGTCATGCCGAACCCCAACGTCGCCCTTGACCCATTAATTCTTCTGCATCTCTCCCCCGCTCGCACATCCCGTCAATTCGCTTGTTTGCTCGCTCGCCTACGATTCGAAGCGAAGTGACGCGACGCGACCATCCATCGACGCCGCAATGTGGCGTCGTGTGGCCTCACTTGTCATACGTCAAGTCGGATCATAACGCCAACCACTAATTGGGATGACAAGGCCCGTCTGCCCATGCCTGGCGTACTTTAGTATGTTTGCACGGCTGTTTGTTTGTACGAGGCGCACCGCAACTGCGCGGCTTGGCGGTGAAAGCGAACAGCGATAAGACGAACGGGCATCCCAAGTCCAACCCACAACGCTGACGTCGGCCTTGTCCTCGCTTGTAGTCTGACAACCTGCGACAGGCGCGTGGGACATTGACACGGCCGGGGAGGGTGTGTTGGATGTAGCCCTAGAATGCGCGTGATGTGGCGCTAGAACGCTGCATGTGTTCCACGGAAGCAGGAAGAGGAACACAACCGAACAGGGGGTTTGGCAGGAAGGAAGCTGGGCAGCATGCAGGTTCCCGGACAGTTAGCCCCGGCATCACTGGGTTTAGTTCCAAGTCTCTTGGACACATGGCAGATTACGCTCCATGGATAGCATCTAGATTTGGGGGGCCTAGGGAAAAGGATGAGCCGAGTAACTCGCTGGGCTCTCGTCTGAGCCTAACCAAGGTCTCGTGAGGAGTTGTTGGGTTGGGTATTGCGAGAGCGGTAGTTGGAGGTGGGAAAAACTTCGTGTGCCTCGGCATCGAGAACCGTGGCCATGAGCTCCAATGACGAACGCAGAAAGTTCAACATGGCAAATAAACTTTGATCCATCGCACGTTGTTACCCACATGGCTTGGGCTCTGGCAGACTTCCTCCCTCGTTCCCCCCTCCCCAAGCCCGCTCCAGCCTCCCAATCAAACAAGTGGGGCCGTCTTCCGGGCTTGATCCTTTGGATCCTTCGATCCCCTGCGGCCTGAGCGTTCTGGCAGCGCCTTATCTGGGCTCTGATGTCTGTGGGTTTTCCTTGGTGCGTGCCATGACATGTCGAAGCGGCGCGCGCGATGCAAGGGTACAAGGGTTTGTGGCCCTCTTTCGCACCGAAACTTTGCGCGCGCAGCAGAGCCGATGGGGGACATGGTCCCCGGATACTTGCACGCAAAAGAGGTAACGGGCTGGGCTTTTGGAAGCGATCTTCGTCCTTCATTTCTTTTTTTCACTTAGTCCTAGGCTGGGTTGAGCTTCATGCCTGATTCATTTCTAACGCTGTGCGGCTTTGGATAGTACTAGGGACCGTTCCGTTCTGCTGGGGGCACTGTTCGCTTCATTAATTTGTTGGTTGGCTTTCCGGTATTACACATACGAGAGGAACGCCTGCGCTGCGCTGCCTCTGCCTTTTTGTACTTTTGCATTTCCTGGTTCTTCGTTTGTCTGGATCGCTGCGACGATAACGCGAACTTGCGAAGCCTGCGCGCGATATCTTTTCTTGTTTCTATTGTCGTGGGTTTACTTTTGGTCGGACTTCAGCCAAAGTCGTCACCTATTCCGACGACACATTCCGAACGCGAATTGCAGGACCATACACATCTGCGCGGGAACTTGATACGGTTGCGTTTGCGTGGAACCACGGGACACGAGAAAAGGGAGTGCTTGGTTCGGAAGGACGGTTTGCGACAAGCGCACCCACGAGAGTTGACGACTCGAAACGGATCCGGTTACGACACGAATACCGCCTGAACGGGAGCGTATACACGTCACAGGAACCACAATCGCAAATACAGAATCAAGCGCAAGAGGAGGACACAATGGACGAGAATAACAGAATCACGATCACGGTGTGCGGTGACGGTGGATGCGGAAAGAGCTCGATTACACTGCGGCTTGTGAGGAGTCAATGGACATCTGAGTACGACCCTACAATAGGTATGCCCCCTTGCGCGCGTGTTCATCGCAAACTATAGCCTCACGCGACTAACTCCCCTCCAGAAGACTCATACTCCGTAACCCGAACCGTCGATGGCGTCCCCTACTACCTCATGCTCACGGACACGGCCGGCCAAGAAGAATACCGCGGTCTCTGGGCCGCCTCGAACCTGCAATCCGATGCCTTCCTCCTCGTCTACGATATAACATCTGCCAACTCGCTCGATGCGCTCGACTACTTCATGGAGATGATAGAAATGGAGACGGAGAACCGGTTAGACAATGGCAAGATACCGCCCATCAAGTGCGTGGTAGGCAACAAGTGCGATTTACAGGGCCAGAGACAGGTGGAAGCGAAGACGGGTCTCGAGTGGGCGAGGCGGAGAAAGTGCGGCTTCATGGAGACGAGTGCAAGAGAGATGGTCAACATTGAGGAGACTTTTGCGCGTAAGGCTTGCATCACAGATCACAGCTGCGACATGGCTAACAAGATGAACAGTACTCGTACGTCGTGTAGTAGAAGCACGGAGACTCACTGCTGGAGACGGCCCTGCGAACCGAACTGCCGCCCTTCCTCTTCAATCGCATCCGAACCGCGACCCAAACTCTTCGGCGGCGTATCTAGATAATGAGAAAGACGATGAGAACGAACCCAAAAAGAGCTGGTGGAGGAGGCTGAAGTGCTGGTAGTTGCATTGCGATGTTGCTACGCATTGCACATGAGTCCCCAGGCATTCACCAATGGCCTGGGGACATCTCGTTCGTTCACGGGCTTGCTGAGATGTGGCATGGGACATGAAGCACGATTTGCTTGTTTTCTACACACTTTGCTCTCCCGTTTGTTTCCTTGACTTGTATATATGCGTCGATGTTACAGGCGCAAAGCATTCGTATACGCATGGCATGGATATGTCGATTAGCGGGATTGGGGAAACCATGGGATATACCGGGCGGCTGTCTGAGTCTTGTTCATTTTCTACAGCGTCTCACATCTTGCTTCTGCATATTTCCTTGCATCATTGTTGATTTCATACTGTAAAGAATTCTTAACAAGTTTTGAATCAGAATACACATCAGCTAGCGCATACTGCAGATGGATTGAAAGCTTTCCGTATGTTATGTTTTGCAGATTCTACCTGAAGGCTCTACATTCTGTATCGATAATCAAGTGCAGCAGTAATCGCGATCTGTACCTTTAGGATGTAGTGCGAACGATGACCGCTTTGAGGCTAACCACCCCGTCGGCTATCCAAGGCATCACTAGCGCGTCTGTGCACGAGCACGCCATTGGCCTGTAAAGCCCTTGGGTACCTCTGAAAACCCTCGCAATAGCATCCAAGTGTTGATACCAACAAAAAGCTACAGGGACATCCTGCACCTGTCGATACTCAGGCAAGGAGCGCAAACAGTGCGTTTAAGGCCGGTGACGTCGTAACTACCCCTCCAAAGGGTCCGTGTTGACGGAGATAAGAGAGCAACGAGCAAGAAGAGATATTGGCAACAGCGCAAGAGCAGGACCAAGATGTCGAAACCTCATATTGAGGAAGAGCTTCCAGTTCAGGATGGTCTTTCTCGAACACTCAAAGACCTCTTCGCAGGTGCAGTGGGAGGAGTCGCGCAAGTCTTGATAGGCCAACCTTTTGGTAAAATCTCTACGGACTGCGTGTGAGACATATGCTGACTTCGGAGTTCGACAGACATTGTCAAAGTGAGATTACAAACAACATCACAATACTCCGGCGCCCTGGACGCAGCAACCAAAATCTACCAAAACGAAGGTGCCCTCGCCTTCTACAAGGGTACACTGACACCACTCATCGGAATCGGAGCTTGTGTATCCATCCAATTCGGTGGCTTCCACTATGCACGACGTGCGTTCGAAGCCAGCAATGAGGCCAAGACCGGAAAAGGCCAATTATCATACTCACAGTACTATGCCGCCGGTGCATTCGCCGGTATCGCCAATACCGTTCTATCCAGCCCCATTGAGCACATTCGTATAAGACTGCAAACACAACCTCACGGTGCAAACCGTCTCTATGCCGGCCCGATCGACTGCGTACGCAAACTCTCAGCACACCAAGGTGTACTTGGCGGCGTCTACCGGGGCACAGCTGTCACATTCATGCGTGAAGCACAGGCTTACGGTTGTTGGTTCACCGCCTTTGAGTACATGATGAACGCAGACGCTGCACGCAACGGAATTGACCGGAAGGAGATCTCTACTTTAAAGGTCGCAGCGTATGGTGGACTTGCGGGCGAAGTGCTGTGGATAAGCAGCTATCCCTTCGATGTACGTTCAAAATTCTCTCATGTACGAAGTGCACGTGAGACATATACTGACTTCGTACAACCATCTCTTAGGTCATCAAGAGCAAGATGCAGAGTGATGCGTTCGGCAAGGATCAGAAGTACAAAAGTATGAGGGATTGCTTCGCGAAGACGTACAAGGGCGAGGGCTTGGGTGGCTTTTGGAGGGGTATTGGACCGACTTTGCTCAGGGCTATGCCAGTCTCGGCGGGCACATTTGCTACGGTCGAGGTCACGATGCGATTGATCAGCTAAGAAGCGCTCTTGGTTTCACGAACATCCCCAGAAATTGCGATGGTGGAGCTTGTACGATAAGCCCAGATCCATCATTGATGGAAGACGTTGTTCAGATCTTTAGCCAATGTTTCATGTGTGCATACGGAGAGTTTGCGATACGTACCATTGGGAGATCGGCCTATCTGTATGCGCGTGCGAAACTATCGACTTCGTAGTGTTCCTGTCTTTGGCTAGTACGCGTCGATAACAACACCGCCATTGCGTCTGAGCTTGGCTCGGTCTTGGTCCGCAGATTGTTGCGGTGCGACCCCTTGAGAAACCACAAGGTCGCCGCAGCACTCAGCCAGCCTCTGAATGCACTTCACATATTGAGCTTACTCAGCCTCTGTCTGTAACGCGTTCCATCATCATGCTGACTACATACAAAATAGATACCCATGTAGTCTGGATGCTGCATCCTCTCGGATGCAATTTCGCTCCTTCTTGTGCATTACGTCGGGTACCGACGCACCCTTGTCCAAAGGCAGCCGTGCCGCATCCCCCCAAGATTCATGCCACAGCCTGCAAGCCACATGCTTTGAGCACAAACTCGAAGGAACCACTCATGAAATTGCACAACCAACTTGAGAAGGTACGGTCGGGGCCGACGGGCGTTGTTCCGCTATTGTGCCGCAGTCCCGCTGCGAACATGTGGATTGGTCCGTAGAACTAACGGGCAGCACCAAACTCTACTTCTTCTCACCCCAAGACCTGTAACATGCGATGGGAACTTCCTTGTACGAGAGATAGAGTTTACAGCGAGTTCCAGGAACCTGGCTATGGCCTCGTGGAATTTGCCGAAGAGCTACCGGGTATGCAAGAACGACTCTTGTGCGGCGCGGTTTGCATCCATGGCTCGTCACACGTCGCGTCACGTAAGGAGATTGCCGCTTTTCGCTAGGGAAGCAACGCATCCGTAGTCATGGCGAAAATCACCGTTATATCGGTGCATATGTTATGATATGATGTCGCTCAATGTCCCTTTCGATCGTTTCGCTCGCATCGCTGCTTCCTACTCTGCACCGCACCTTCGCTAGACCTTCCAACACCGTGGGCGCGAGAGACGCGCCCGAATCCTACGATACGCGACGACGAACGCGTCGAACGAGCGCACAAAATGCTCTTCAGCACAACACTAAAGAAATGGACGTCCAGCCTTAAACCCACAAAGCTCTCTACACAACCAACCCGATCCTCAAAACAAACTCAATCGGAAGAAGACCTCGTTTCCATGCAACTCCCAACACCGCGATACAACTCCTCGACACACTCAAATTTCGAAGCCGCGCTTCATCGACCGACGAGTCAAATCGTGTGTCATTCGCCGTTAGATAAAAGAAATAGGGCGGGGAAGAAGAAGGGGAGAAGGAGTAAAGACGATCAGCCTGGGAAAGGGGGTGATGGTAATGGATTGAGGCACAAGACTTCTACACGGGTGTTGTTTTCGTCGACGCAGTTTGATAAGGTTGATGTCAAGAAGCCTGCTTGACGGGAGAGAGCAGTTATGTTTCACGAACAAGATAGGGGATACTGCGGAAGAGTCGCCATCTGTGAGGAAAGAAACGGGATGAAGTTAAACGCAAGCGAAGACAGCAAAGAAGGAACGACAAAGTGAATGAGATTTTAAGGCGCTGGCACCATTCCTCCTCCAAGCAGTCACTCGTGTCTGAGCCTCGACCTCACATACGTCGGGCTCAATCGGGTTCTATATCTTATTCTCATACTTGCGATGAACGCTAGTGGAGGCGGTTTCGCTGATTTGGCCAATTCGTTGTATTCCAAAATCTTTCGGATCTGCAATCTCCTTACCTGTTCATGTATAGGAACACTATCCCCTTCGACTATCTGCAGAGCTTACTTCGTCAATATATTAGAGACCGATAACAACCCTTGCTTATTCATCCTCCGACTCTAGACTGAGATCAGGTGTAGTAGAATGGCGCTTGTCTGCCTCCAGGGCGCAATCGTTACCGGGAATTTCCGCTCCCAGCATGAGCATGACCTTCACCGCCACCAGCACCACGGGCCTTACTTCCGCTGTCGCTATGGGCACACTCTCCGTCGCTACGGATACCTCTGCTGCCTTAGGTCTACCTACAGCGCGCACTATTTGTAAGCAGAAGAGTTTTACTTAGACTAACGGCGGAGCAAAACACGCGCATGTCTTAACGTAGACCCTAGGCAGGGCACAGGGCGAGGTACTTCGGTCTAGCATATAAGGCATAGAGCGGGCGCACAAGGACAGCCAGGACAACGACGGCGAGGGTGACAAGACTTGAGGGATTGCTTAAGCTGCTTAAAGGTTTACTGCATTGCTCTTGTAACATCAATCGTCATTCGTTGTCAATGTTATATGTTCTTGCCTTTCGGTCGGCTGAAGCCCAGCATTAAGAGACGTGCTCCGTGCTCCCTCACAGCCATCCCACTCTCCTTCCGATGATGCTTACACCCCCAAGCGCAGCGCTAACCCCCGTCCAAACCACCAAACTGCCATATTGCGTTCCATACAATCCATGCTCACCAAGAGTTCCCGTCTTGATCAATGCCTCACTGATAGGCCCACTGACAATATTCCCAATACCTCTACCCATACACAAGAACGAGAAGACCATGGAGCTTTCCATCTGTCCCGTACTCGTTTGCACAGCTCTCATGATGCCAGGCCAAGTGTTCGCGAAGCTGCCTGCAAAGAGTCCGTATGTGAAGCAGAAGATTAGCAATGGTGGTAGCGACGTGCTGAAGCCCCAGATCAGAAAAGTGGAGATCATGGCACCGATGGTGGAGATGAGGATGGCGGTGGTGACGTGTGTGCGATCGATGATGCTTCCCATACTAACGGATCCAATGACTGCGGCGACATTGAGGAGAATGAGAGGAACGGCGGAGACTGTGCTGCTGAATCCCAGTGCCTTGGTGTATGTAGGAAGGTCTAAATTAGCAAAACGTCAGTGTAGTTCTCGCATGTAATTCGTACAAAGACACTTACAAATGGATGGTACAAAGAACCCCAAGCCTTGCAGGATGTTGCCAGACTGCAGAACCCAAAAGGTCTTGTTCGTGAGGAACGTGAAAGTAATTCCACACCTAGTAGTTGCCGAGACAGG